GAGAGCGAGTCGGCGACGCCGCGGGGTCCAGCTGGCGCGCTGGAGACTTTATTCCTCTCTGGCTGTAGGGGGAGTCCCAGACTGTGCCAGGGAATAAAGCTGCTCGGGCAGTGGGAACGGGGAGTCCCAGACCATGCCAGCCCCAACTGCTTGGACAGCGCGCGCTGCCCGAGCAGCTGGAGCCGGCGTGCTGGGGACTTTATTCCCCTGCTGCCTACCTGCGGGGGAAGGGGGAGTCCCAGAACTTGCCATCGGCAACTGCTCAGGAAGCTTGCGCCTTACTCCTTCCCTCCCCTCCCCGCGGCAGCACGCGCTGCCTGAGCAGCCAGAGCCAGCGCAGTCCGGGACACCCAACCCGTTCCCCAGGCGCAGGAAGGCAGCAGGGGAACAAAGTCCCCAGCACGCGATAGACCGGCATTTTAGGTACCATGCCGGCTGTTCAGGGGGGAGGAAGAGCAGCCTGCGCACTTCCAGTACCAAGCACGCGGCTGCAGAACTCTCCCCACCCCGCTGGAAGCCTGCACTCCCTCCGTTGTTCCTGGAGGTAGCATTGGCGCGGCATTCATCTTGGGGGGTGGGGGCAGTGAGGGGGGCCCCCCAAAAGCCTCGTGATCGACTGGTCGGGCCCCCAAGATCGACCAGTAGATCACGATCGACAGATTGGTGATCATGGGCCTAGACCATCCCTACCACGCGTTTGTCCAATGTATTCTTAAATGGATCCAATGATGGGGATTCCACCACCTTCCGTGGAAGCCTGATCCAGACATTAACGAAGCTTAGAGTCAAAGTTTTTTCTAACCTCAAACCTAAATCTCCTTGCTGCAGATATTAAGCCCGTTGCTTCTTGTTCTACTGACAGTGTCCATGGAGAAAAACTGATCCCCCTGCTCTTGATAACACCATGTTTGCAGGCAGTTATCGGGTCCCCCCTTGCCTTATCAGTGTTCCCTCTATTTTTCCCCCACTTCTGAGCAGAATGAATTTTCTTCTGTGCACCAATATGAAGGGGATGTGACACACATCCCCTTCATATTCGTGCACGTAACAAAATTCACAGGGTGGAGCCAAGGGATTCTGAACGTGGGAGCAGGCTCAGGAGTGGGGCAGAGATTAGAGTACAAGAGTGTGCAATTCTGGCTGGGGGTACAGGCTATAGGGTGGAACTGGAGTCAAGGGACTCAGGGCTAGGGCAAAGGGTTGGGGTGCAACGGTTCTGACTGGGCATGAGGGGTTTGCAGTGCAGGAGGGGGGCCAAGGCACCCAAAACTGGTCACTACTAAGGATGTAAAGTCCCATTTAATTAGTTAACATTTAATTGTTAACTGATTAGAAGAGGGAGGGGGCTGCTCCAGCTCTATGTGGGCTCATGGGTTGGGAGTCAGGGCCAGAGTGGGGGGGAGAAGTGCTAGAAGTAGCAGCAGGGAGGGACAAGCAAAGCTGCAGACTCCCCCACTTGCCACGAGGCTGACGACACCCTGCAGAACTGGAGCTGCCCTCCACCTAACCGTTACCTGTTCACATCCCTAGTTGCTACTCCAGCAGAGGCCTCACCAGTGTCACATCGCCCACGTGACACTCCTATTACCATCAGAGAGCACGAGCCTTTCACACAACTGCTTCTCATTGTTGGCCTATATTGAATTTATAATCCACTAAATCCTTAGATGCTTGTCAGCAATACTTAAACCCAGTCAGTTATACCTCATTAGACTCTCTTTCCTGTCTCAAACACTACCTTGATGCTCGCCCCCCTTTATTTTCATCCAGATGGTTTCAATTTATCAGCCCATGTAGTCTCAATGTGTAATGCAGTACTTCCTCCTTTTCCCACACATCTGTCCTTCCAGAAAAAGCTATATTTCTCTACACCAATATTTCAATCATGCGATCTACACCCCCAAGCCTAGTCTGATACCAGTTAAGTCATACACAAGTTACCATTACATCCAGTTCTTCCCATTTATTCTCCATACTCCCTGCTTTTGGGTATATTCATCTATAATGCTGAGCAGTTTTTCCTCTTGTTCCTATAACCCTACTGTAATTTTCCATCCCCTGCTCCGAACATCAAGGCCTCTGTTAAGGTCGCCTTTTAATACCTATCTGTGGGCTTTTGTCACATTCCCCCTTTGATACTAGTTTAAAGCTCCTCTTACTAGGTTGGTGAATCAGTGTTTGAAGATGCTCTTCTCCTGGAGAAGCAAATGGACTGGTCCCTTGTCTTGTCCTGTCCCCCTCTCTAGTCCCAGAGGGGCAAATGGCCTGATCCCTCCTACCTACCTAGAGCTTCCTGAATCTTTTGAGGTACAGGACAGAATGATTCTGAAACCACACCCTCTTTGTGCAGGCGCTACTTCCACAGAGGAGTATGCCACTGCCTGGCTGTTAGAGTCTCTTCCCTACAGACTTTGGGGGTGGGGGAGGGGAAGAGACAGCTCTTGTCTGACTTCACACTCCATCTTTGCCTCACGGGTTCCCTGCCAGTGTTCCCCCACACAGATACCTGGAGTTGCTGGATCTCCTGGTAGGCT